CCATTTTCCCCTCATTACACAATTACAATTCTTGGTACTATTGATGTATACAAAGTTAGATATAAATATCTTTGTCATATTTTACTAATATTATATAAATAATAATACCAATTCATAAATCAATATCCTATTTTTTGTACTCTTGTTAAAGTTTGATTTCCCATCAATATTTAAAGTATCTTTGTCAGTTATGATTTTCTCAATATTAATTACATTTATATAGCTAAAAAATTTATTCATACCAATCCTCCTCTTATTTTCAAAAGAAGGGAAAGATGCTATTTTAATACTAAATCATATCTTTCATTATAAAAGTCTAATTATATCTGAGGGTCATCCATTCTTTTAATCATATCCACACAAGTATTTAAACATATGATGCTCCCTCCAATAGGTCAAATCTTCTATTTTTTAAATCTAATTCTGATTTTCTTTCTTGCCAAGTAGCTTTCCAAGCCAAGACAATTAAATCACCCAGGAATTTTCTTTCTATTTTTATGAAAGTTGCTTGGCATGAGGAAGACAATTTAGGTAGGGTATTTTTGGGGGGGAATTCCGCCTGTTTATGTTCCTTAAGCAACTCCCACTTTCCTCCTCCCTCAATTTCTCCCCTCACCTTTTGTCTCCCAAATTGTAACATTTCCCCTGACAGCTCTATGTTCCAATCCTTAAAATCTTCTTCCTTATCAGGTACATCTTGCAGACTTAAAGGCTAAAGGGTCTTTTGCATTTTCATTATTATGGGTAAGTCTTGCAGTAATTTATTTGTGTATGGTAGTTTATATTTCCCTTCTTTCATCTCTTCCATCTCTAGATCCATTTCCTCTGCTTCATCTTCCGATCTCTGGTTTATTTGTTCATACTTTGTAGTTGTTGTCTGGGAACTTTCTAGTTGTAGATTTAATTTGGAGATTTGCTCATTTATATTATATAAATTATTATTAGTTTCATTATGGTTTCTTTTTATATCCTCTTTGTATGGAACAATTGTTTGATGAATTAGTTGTAGCATAGAGTATATTTCCTTCTGAAAGGTGTTTGTTTTGTCTTGAGGCATCATTCTTGGAGATCCTCTAATATCACCAGTCTCAGTAAGAGTAGAACAAAGTTTCCTCTAGCTTTCTGGTCTTTATATGTAGCCTTTATAATCCAATAGATTCCAGAATACAGGTTCAGTCCCAAAAGCAATATTTTATAGTAATCCTGTCATGGTTCTGACAGATGAAACTCTTCAAAAGAACTTCAAGGTATTGTTTACCTTAAGGAATCTTTATTTTGAGTAGCATAATATCAGCATGGCATAATCAAAGCCAAAAACTGAATTGCCCTCCCCTGAGCACATAGTATCAAAGCACAATTCCCTCCTCCAATTAACAATCATAAATCACATCCCCCAATTAGCTCGAAGCACAGGCTTCCTCTCCAGTTCTCCAGCCCACCAATTCCTTATAAGCTCTGGTTACAATAACCTTGTTTCTCACACTAGGTTAAGTGTTGTTATGATTAGCTGAACTCTTGTTCACATCCCCCCTCCCACCATCATCTAACTCTAAAAGCAAAAAGGTAAAAGATGGCTACATTTCTATCTGTTGTCAATGCAAAAACATGTTAGCAGTGTTGACAGATCCTTTGTCTCAGATATCCAAAAACTGTCAATCAGGCAAGGTCATAATTCACAATGTTCAAAGTGTTCAACCTCCTTGAAAACAGCTCAAAAGTCTCTCCCAGCCAGATGTAATCAAAGTCAACATTTTTTCTCTCCCACTAGCTCTTGAGATTAAAAGTCCAAGTTCAGTAGGTGTTTATAGTCCAAGGTCAGGATGATAAGTATGCCAAAATATTTTCCTTTATTGCCAGCTGTTCTCCCTTAAGTTACTAAGCAGCCAGGAAGTTAGTTATAGTGCTGTATTCAAATCCACCACTAGATGTCATTCAAAATCCATTTTCCACTGTTAAGACAAAGGATTTATTTCTTCTATTTCACCTCAATGGTTTTTTTCCCAAAGAGAAAATCTTAACAATTATCTCAGTTCTCAAATTTCAAAACTGTAGCTTTATGCTACTTCCACTTCAATATTGTGTATTTCTGTCCCCCATAGAAATTAAAACGCCGCTTCCATTCACATTTGGAGGTTTTTAGCTTCTTGGGAGCCTTTTCCAGGAAATTCAGTTGTAAAATAGAAAATAAAGGATCAATATTCTCACCCAGTTCCAAACATGCTGTTTACGATGTATTAATTGGTGCTTTTCTTCTTCGGTTGTCAGCAGCTAATGGCTGGCCATAGGAATGTAGTCAGTCTTTCCCCTGCCAGTTTGGAGGGCTTTTCTCAGATCGAACTGAAAGACCACCATCTCTCCATGATCGACGAGACACTCTTCCTTCTTCATCGCCTCTTCGGGATGACTTTAGGCCCTTTTTAGGGCCCCCAGAAGGGCGAAATCGGGAGCAGAAGGCAGAGCCCTGCCTTCCTGCTCCATCTCACTATGACACAAAACCAGAAGTCCCTACAGTACTGTTTTTGATAGGTTGAACTGTTTTTTTCCCTTTGTGTAAAGATAGATGCAAAAAATGAGTTGAGTAGTTCTGCTTTCTCCCTATTGCTTGTCACCTTCTTGCCACTTTCTCATACTAATTGACCAATCATTTCCTTAACTTTTTTCTTGCCTCTTTACATGTTGAAAGAAGCTTTTTTTGTTATTTTTGACTTTTGTCACAAGCCTTAGTTCATTTTGAGCCTTAGCTTTCCTCACTTCATCTTTGCAGGCTCTATCTTTGCAGGCTTGGGTTATTTGCTGATATTGTGCCTTAGTTAGGTGCCCCTCTTTCCACTTTTTATACTTATACTCCTTTTTGTCTTTCAATTTATCGGTTTATCAATTTATTCAAAATAACTTGAAAAGAATCACTACACCAGGTTTATTTATTTAGCATATGGCATATCATACATGGACTAGCAACATATATTAACATTTCACTTAGATTAGTAAAACATAATAAAATATAAATGTGAAAGGGTGTGAAGCTAATTCACCTCCTTGTAGTGCATCCTGGATAGCGCGATAGCATGAACAAACAATATTTTGGAGAATATTAAAGAAAGCAGAATATATTTTCCCAAAAGAATAACAGAAAATCTTAGGCAACCCCCCCCCACACAAGACTCTCTGCCCTAAGCAGAGGCCAGGTCTGTAGAAATGCAGATTTGATAATCCTTTCAGAAAGACTGGAGCCAGGAAGCTTAAAGCTGATGGGATTAGAAAGACAAAGATCTATAGAACACAAAAGCTCAAGAAGGTATAAAAACCTACCACTCCCAGCTCCATGTGGTCAGACACCCAGAAACATGCTGCTATCACTGAAGTTTCTGGCAACTCAATAAACAAGAACCTCCTTTCCTAAAGCAGTCTCCATTTTGTTTATTCCTTGCTTGGACTGGACCTTGAAGATTTTTCTTTCAACAGGGGAATCCGAGGCACTATAAAGCACTTAATTTACAGCTGATACTCAGGAAGGTTCCATAAACAAATCAGTTCAAACTGCCTACAAAACAGCATATTATATACTACATCTCATCATGGATTTGTCATGAACACGTTTGTTAGGCAAACATACTTTATTTTTTGATTGACAATTTCTTTAGTTTATTGAGGTAATGCTGTCAGTATATTAGATCCTGTTCTCTGCAAAACATTTGTAAAATGTCCCAGAGCATTAAGTTAATTAAGTGTTAACTGATTTACACGATTGTGGTTACACAGCTAACCCCCAATCATTAGTCATTTTCATCAAACTGGAATAAGGAATCATACAGTCTAGTGCGGGGGTCTTCAAACTTGGCCCTTTTATGACAGCTGGCTAAAGAATTCTGGGAGTTGAAGTCCACAAGTCATAAAAGGGCCAAGTTTGAAGACATCTGGTCTAATGTGCCACATGTTTTGGGTTTCCATGACATGAAACTTAACATGGAGAAATGCAAAGATTTGTTTTACTTAGGAAACAATTCAAATGCAACAATTCAAATAAGAGACACTTGGCTTGGTAATTGGCAAGAGGGAGGAATAATTAAATCACTCTTTTGCCAATGTGGTATAAGCTCCACTCCTTTTATACACACATGACATCATACATATGCATGAAAAGGGCAAAGTTTGCACTGTAGCAACAAGACACAGCTTTTGTCATTAGAAAGTGCTGAATTCCACAGATCTTACTGCAAACAATAATGATTGATTGTAAACTAATATGAGTCAGCAGTGAAATCTGGTTCCTAAAGAGGCAATTAAGCTCTATCAACAAAAGTATTGTCTCCAAATTTATTCTGTAAAACCCACTTCAAGGAATCTACCCATATTCTGCCCAGACGGAACTCGTGGCTCTGATTCCGATCTAAACAGTCAGATAACTCGATAGAAATGAATTAAAACAAATATTTATTGTCCAGGAATTCTAAGCAGAGACTTACTGTGCTGTAGATGCATCTGCTAAGTCCAGAACAACCCACTTCCTAACACTGCAGTTTTAAAAGGATTTGGGGGAAACTAGATAAATTCAGAGAAGAGATAAAAAACAAAATTGTTAATGTTGTTCAAAACTCTAGTGAAGGCAGTGTAGGAAGTCAGCCCCCCAGAGAAGGAAATATTAAAAGGGCAGAAAAATATATTTCCTCAAAGGATCTTAAAGAGGCAGAAAAGCACTCCAGTTTTTTCTTAATATCCCCAAGTCTCCCTCCCCCAAGCAGAAACCAGCTCTGTAGAAATGCAGATGTAAACCATTCAGGAAGGTTGAAGCTAGAAGATTAAGAAGACAAAGACATCAAAAATCAACATACCCCACCCAAACTAGGATTAACCCACAGATGCCAAAGGGATACAGGTCAAAATACATGACACAAAACTTCAAACAGGAACAGGAAACAACCTCAACAGCCCCAGAGGATATAAAAACCCACTCCCTACATGTACACTCTCTCTTTTTCTTCCAGAGCCATCTTTCTGTCTGGCTCTCCTCTTCAATAAACTGCAACCTTCTTTCTAAAGCAGTCACCATGTTGTTTATTCCCAGCTTGGACTGAACCATGATGAAGATTTTTCCTTCAACAACAGCATGCCAGGCAGACTGTGACACAAAAATTTATTAGAATATAAAGGATGAGAACATAAATCTGATGGACTAATGAATGGGGAAAGCTCATCTTGACGTAAGTATTCTTCACTACCTGAAAGGATACAACATAGATATCCTTTCTCTATTCTCTGTCATTTCAGAATGAAGGTCACATAATACTAAATTTACATTACAGAGAAACTAATTCTATTTGAATATAAGAAATAAGAAACTTTCTAATTGAACAGTTTGACAGCAGAAGTGATGGGCTTCATGGACTACATTCAGAGGGTAGAGAACTGTCTAATGGGGAATGTATGCAAAGAAATTTTGTATCTGCTCCCTGGATTGCAACATTGGGGTTTATATAGTTTTCTGTTTTTAATCCTTATTTTTGTTGTGCTCCACTCAGAGCTGAGTGCTCTGGTGCGGTATACAAATATAATAAATACGATTTGTTCACTGAACAGCAGGTTGTTATTACAGTCCATAAAATTTGTGAGTTTTTAAATTTTCCAGAATTCTTAAATCCAGAACGAGAAATGGAGGAAACAAGTCGGATCAGTCTTTAGGTTTACAATTAAAAATCCATTTGAGAAGCGGTTTGAGGACTGAGTGAAACACAAAACAGCAATTTGAGATATGCAACAATCCCCCGCCCCGCGCAACATTTAATTTTCGAACTCTATTTCACTCTTAATTACCACGACGAGAGCCTCATCGGCCTCAGGTGGCGCTTTTCTATGATTACGACCTTACGCCAAGAAATAACGGGACGGCGGAGGCTTTCGAACGAGCGATTCTGAATACAGCATGGAAAGCGAGTATTTCACGAATGAAGGTAATGATAATTTCTTAATGATAATTAAGGCACAGGTAATTTTCATGTCATGCTGCGAAGAACGCTGAGGACGGAAAGAGACACGTCGACCAAAAAGCGGTGGGCTGGAGAGAGTTATCTGTTGCCAGGCCCCGTTTCTAGGCAACTACAGCGGCGGGACCAAGAACCGTGACGCTCTACTTGCAGGGAAGAACCTCTCTGGTTGTTAAAAGTGGCCGATCTGCCTTCCTCTCCGTGGTTGGTGGGGCGTTTGGTTGACAACCCGGGGCTTAGGAGGGGGTGATGAAACTGGAAGGAGCGCTTGAGCCAGTAACGCATAAGCGTGAGTACGGAGCAGGCAAGGGAGGAGGAGGAGGAGGAGGAATACTTGGTTTTGGGAGCTTAGCACTTAATTCGGTTTCTTGGAGCCGTGGAGACTTTGCAAGAAATATCGTGTTTTAATGGGATGTTAGGAATGTTGCTTAAGAGAGGAATCCTCAGTTGGAATAGAATAGAGTAGTATACTTTATCTGGCCAAGTGTGATTAGACACAAAGAATTTGTCTCTGGTGCAGAAGCTCTCAGTGTACATGCAAAACAACAGAATTATCGTCATCATCCCAATAAGAGGGGTAGTAAATAAGATAAGGATAGATTGTAATACTACAGCCATACTACATGGGTAAATATACATAGGCATTGGATAAATATAAAGAGAATCGACTACAGCTGCAGCTTTTGGTCCGTTTTTTTCCGGAGTAAACCTTATTCAATTAAAAGGGACAGCGGAATAGTCATGCATGAGGTCGTATCGCAAAGCTACACCTCATGCTTCTCTTTGTGGGAAGGCTACTGAACAGATGCCCTTATTCCTGAATTTGAATACGCTGAAATCAATTTCAGGCATGTTGATCTAGAAGCGAATTCTCTGAGAGAGGTGGAATTTAGTTCTGAGCACAGAACTAGAGTATAAAGTTTTGTTGTTTTTAGATAGGATGTGTGAGCAGTGCCAGGCAAAAGGAACAAATACCACTCCCCACCCCACTACATTTCATCAACTCATTCTGTGAGCTATTACCAGATAATTAAGTGCCAATTTTAAATGCCCAATTTAAGAGGGGACTATGTTATGTTGTTTAATTTTGTAATGGTTATCACATTAGTTCCCAATAAAACAAAATGGGAGTAGGGTTGTGCAATCCTTTTAGTATTGCACAAAATAAAATTTACTTTCGCTATTCTCTAGTCCAAATTCTGTGGAAGCACTTTCTGAGTTCTGGCTCAATTAATTTTCAGTCTGACCTAAGGGAGAAATGATGAAATACATATAGAATAAGTCATATTAAATACACTGAATTTAATTTTAAAAACATGTTTAAATTGAACAAAGGAACATTTATTTTTACTTTTCATTGGCTCTTAACTTCTGGCCTGCTGTTCTTTTTGGAAAGGACTCCTGGTTTGAAAAAGTTGCAGTCTCCTAGTTGAAATTACTGAAGAGGAAGTAATCTTTCAGATAGTAGCAATATAATCAGGAGATTTGAATTTCTGAATGGTAATATTTATGCACAAATCAAATTAAATAAGAACTTTATTCGACTCTTAATTTCTCTGTCAACAAACCTTATAACAGAAAGATTCTTGGGCTGTATTTTTTAAATCTGTGTCACAGTCTATAAATGGAACAGTGACAGATAAATCTAGGAAGAATTGGAGGATAGGGGAAAAGTCTATATAAAACTTTAATACAAATAATTATGATTTCTTTAACTGCTCAAGTAAATTTCAGCCAGATAGAGATATGTATATGTTTTCTAGTTAACTAAAATTTAATTGGTTTATTCTACAAATAAGTTGGGATGGAAATCCAGCTTCTGTTTTATTTACTTACAGTTTTTACTGTTTAGTTTCAGGACAGTTTGAGATTTTTGTTTTAATATTATGTGCTGTTTTGAGAGCATTTCTTTTTTTAAACAAAAATTGCACTCTGAATGTTTTCCACCATCTTTATTTTTAAAGATATAACTGAATTCTTGAAGTATGTTTAATATGCAAATTCTGCTATAAAGGATCCTTTCTGTCCTCATGGGATCTCTCTATACTTCCAGCTATTTCTGCTTTATTTTTAGTACAACTGTGCCCGCTTTTCTGACATATTTAAAATGTGAGTAAGCTTGACCCAGGGAAGTTGCTTTACTGTACCTTTCAGACAATTATGCTTAATTAGGCCTGTAATAATGTTCCAACCTGTTTAATATTAACAGAACAAGCTTGCTCCTTAAGGACCTTCCTTAAGCTTCCTTTAGTTTAAAGTGAGTACTGTATTTACTTACGATGTCTTACCAATTATGTTGTTGCTGCAGGCACACTTCACATTTAGGAGGAGTTGGGATTCTGTCTGTTGCCTTTTACAGGTAGTCCTTGACATACAACCAAAAATTGCTAAGCAAGACAGTTGTTTAGTGAATTTTGCCCCATTTTATGACCTTTCTTGCCACAGTTAAATGAATCACTGCAGTTGGTAAGATAGTAACATGTTTGTTAAGTGAATCTGACTTCCCCATTGATTTTGCTCATCAAAAGGTCCCAGATGACTCTGGGACACTGCAACCATCAGAAATACATGCCAAGCATCCAAATTTTGATCGTGTGACCATGGGGATTCTACAATGGTTGTAAATGTGAAAAAAAATCTTAAGAGAGTGCTGTCACCCTTGAATTCAAACATGAGGTATAGGTCACTTTTCTTGGTGCCATTGTAACATCGAACAGTCACTAAACAAATGGTTTAGTGCATTAAATTGTTCCATTTAGTGGGAGAGACTGTTTTGGATAATACACACCTACATAGAAACTTGCTAGTTTGTCCTAAAATATGCATGCATGTCCTAAAATGTGCATAAAATATGCAGAACTAAAATAATTGTGTTCCACACAACATTGTTTTGAGATAGGGCAAGTTGAAAAAAAGAAAATGGTATAACTGGTAGTGGTACAGCGATGGGTATGAGAAATAGGGAAAGGGAAGGTCTAAGAACAGTGAAGATGTGGGAGAATGCTGTCACCCTTGAATTCGAAGATGGCATATTCAACTAGCCCATCTTTCCCTTGCCTGATATTTGGGTGTACCAATTGGATATTTCTATCTACCAGTAAGACTTCTCAGGAATATATGCCAGGATAATCAAAATAATTCTGAGTATCAGCCCTCAGAAACCTAAAAAAAGACCAGACCATCATGATCCTACCCACAGACAAAGGCCAAACCATGGTTATTATGGACAGCACAATATTTACAAAAGCAAAAGAAATACTAGAAGACAAACTTACATTTCTGCAAATACTAACAGAACTCAAAAACTAGAAGAGCGGTGACATCAGTAAGAAAAGCCAAGTTACCCATCCTCCCACACTTCTACGGATGCCCCAAAATACACAAACCTGACATACCTCTCAGTCCAATCATATCATTACAGGGGACCCCTAAATAAAACATTGCAAAAGAATTAATAACAAGGCTCATGAGAGGAAGCAAACACTCCATCAACTCTCCACTACGGTGCCTTCAAACAGAGTTGTAACTATATTTGAGGATAAAATCATGGCTTCATCTGATGTTCACATCCATAGATCCGGAATTTGCCAAAGAATCTCCACAGCACATCTGACTTAACCAAATACACAAAGATTGAAACATCCAGGATTATGGATCTCATAAACTTCTGCCTAACCACATACTTCCAATTTGATGTACAAATTAAAAGTACACCTATGGAATCACCCTTTTTAGGAGCTATAGTAGAGAGGTCATCATGCAATGTCTAGAAGCCATAACACAATTGTGGCAGGAAAGGCCATAAAATGGGACAAAACTCACTTAACTAATGTCTCACATAGCAACAGAAAGATTGGACTCAATTGTGGTTGTAAGTCAAGGACTACCTGTGTTGGAACTCTGAATTGCCTGGAACAGTTTCACTGAAATGTGAAGCCATAATCTACTTAAAACTTTTTCCATTACCAGTCTCTTTGTTTGTTTTTCTGGAATGCAGTATCACAAACCTTACAGTTTTGGCAAATTGGTTCTGCCAAACATAGCACCATCACAGCTCCAGAAATTTTATTTTTTTTAATTTATATTTCTTTGCTTCTTGCTTTCTCTGTTTCCCTTATGTAATTTCTTTTTATCTCTTGATAGCAAGGATAGTATAAGGAGGTAAGGATGTGAAGGAAATGGAAAACAGGGGAAGCAAAGAGGGCATGCCTTTTAACACAAGAAAACAAAACTATTGCTTTCTTTTTTCTTTAGGGATTCCTGCATTTTTTAACAAACTTACTCCTGAATCTGTGAAACTCAACAGACAAGCCTTTGTGGTGTGAGATTTTGTGATTTAAAACTTCGCTGGCACAGGAAAATTATTTTAGCTGCTATTAAAAAAAAAACTTCATTAAAAGAGTGAGTGGCAAGACCAGGTAAGTCTTTTCCTTCCTCTTGGCTCAAACAAGATAATGGAAGCAAGTTACATCCTTGATCTGAATTCAGATTGAGGCAGGATAAATGGAAGTTTGCTTGAATTTCCTATGACTATTTTTTCAGACCCACACTGGCTTTTTTGACATTTTCAGCTAATCTCTCTCTAAATATACCAACTCTGTTCATTTTGCTTGTGGCATAAAATAACCTTCCCTGCTGAAAGATTAAGTCTTCATTCTCCATAATTTCCAGTTGGTGGTTCCTGTTACAGTTGCACTGTCACTTGATATGTATTGAATATACTGTGCAGCCTGTGCTGCTCCAGTGTTTTTGATAATCAGTTGAAACGATCTCAATGCCACTCCTAACACTAACTGTGCTTTCTTCTAGAAGAAGAAACTTCTGGTTGATGATGGCAAAAAAACCCAGGAATCTGGTAGCGACCTTTCCAACAAATAGATTTTTTTTATATTAATGAAGTTTGTCGGAAAAGTTATTATGAGTTTCCTGATTTTTTGGGATGTCCTATGATAGGTTTCAGGAGACCGAGATGACCTTGGCAGAAGCAGTTAAGGTGTTCTGAATGTTGAGAAATAAATAGCTACTTCAGAGAATATCTACTCTAAAAAAAATTCTTCCAGTTTATCTTGTATTAAGTGTCAATGAAGGCTTATGTTATGAAGCCAGTACAGATCCTTGCTTTTTTCTGTTATGTTTCTCAGCATGAGCATGTGTGTGCATGCACACCCAGACACACAAACACATTATGGTCAGAATGCTGAGAAATTTCTTAATTACTTGCATTGCAAAATTGATTTCTCTTAATGCTGATCCAGCACTATGCTGCAGCTTTCTCACTCTAAGGCTTATTTAACTTGATTGTGAAATGAACTAATTTCATTTCCCTAAATTAAATTAATGTTATTTATAGTCAAAAATAAATTCTTAGTTACACATTGCACATAGTCAGGAAGATAATCACAAGGAAATGAAAGAACAATTAATTGTCATGAACAATTAAACTAAATTAAATAATCTTTAACATAAATTAATGATTATTTAGATTGTCATTATAGCTGATATGTTCAAAGCTGATGTACTCTCACTGTTTTACCATGAAATCTAAGGTTCTTATATCTTGAACTTTGCACATTTTACATTTCCCTGGAAAAATGTGTAGTTGTTTAAATACCTGTCAACCTTCAAAAGATATTTATTATACAAACTGGAACAGCTTTCCCCCACTTGATATTTTTTTTTTTTTAGTAATATTGACTATACTGATTTGTAATATAGGAAGTGAAGCTCAACAAATGTAGAGGCCAGTAACCCAAACAGTCACTAGAACTTGTGTTACTACATATTCAGCAGCTTTTGAAATTGATGATGAGCATTTGAGAAACAAACTTGAGCACCTCTATTTATAAGCAGAAACCCTGCAAACTCAGCATTTTTGATTTCTTAGACTTCAACTGAGCCAGTGTGTCTATGTAGTTAATTAAGTTTTGTGCTTTCCCATATTTTTCAGTTGCACATATGGTAATTCTGAAGTAACTTCTTTTTTTCAACTTGAGGGGTCCTCGGTGCTCTCTGAGCTCAGTTGTTTTCTAAATTTAGACGTTTCATTACCCAAACTAAGTAACATCATCAGTACTAGTAAGGAATGGGAATTGCTCTCAGTTTATATTCTAATGGCTTGCCCTGTCAGTATTGGTGGGGGTGGTCACTTAGAGATTCTTTGGTTGTGTTGTTTACTGTTGATTTGTTTAGCAATTTCTTGATTGGGGTATTGTTTACTTGATTGTTGGTCTGATGTTAATCATGGAGTTAATCTATACTGATCTGGTTGCTGATTGTTGGTGGAGAGGTGCTTTAGTCTTTTTGTTCTCTTTTTGTTGATTGTCTGTTTAGCATAAACTATAGATATTGTTTATGTTTAGGTGACTACTGATGGCTAATTTGTCAAAGTGCCAGGCTTCTAGAAATTCCCTGGCATTTTTGGACTTGGCTTGATCTAGGATGGTCACATTTTCCCAATTAAAACTATGGTGAAATCTGTCTATATATTGTGAAATTAAAGAATTTTCATCGTGTCTTCTGACTGCTCAAAGAATCTCTAAGGCCATCCCCACCAACATTGACAGGCAAGCCATTAGTATATAAACTTGACAGCAAACTGCACTCCTTACTAGCACTGATGATGTCACCTAGTTTGGGTAACAAAATGTCTGCAAGAAAACAAGCAAGCTCAAAGAGTACCAAGGATTCCTTATGTCAACCCTGAGCTACGAATATTCTCCTTTATTCTATTTATTTCTATTTATCTGCTGTTAAAGAGATGCTTGGACCACTAATAGCATAGCTTCATTCCTCAAAGCTCTAGAGTTTTCCTATCTAAATTGTCATTAAAGTTATAGTATGCGTGCCTCTGGCTTGGCACCTTCTTGATACTGTACCGTCTTGTTCCTGAAACCAAGCTGTGAAATTAGAAGTTGCAAGCCATTCACTTTTTTTTATTATCATTAAAAAATTTTGCAATTTTACAATAAAATCTCTCTCCCACTGCCTCCCTACCCTCCCAGAAACCCTCCGTCTTCCCAGAGCTGAATACAGGGTTAACTAGAACTAAAAATACAAAACATTTAAACTTAAAAACCTCAAACAAATATTACATTAAAAAAAATTTTTTTAAGTACTTTAAGTCCAATATATATATATATAATAAAAAATACTTATTATCTTAAACTTTAAACATAAATTATTCAAAAGCTAAATAATATCTTTTAATATCATACTTATACTGTATAAAGTTTATCCATCTTTTCCACACCAAAAGATATTTCTCTTGCGATTGATCTTTCAAATAAGCTGAAGTTTTTGCCATTTCAGATAAGTAAGAAACTTTAAAAAAACCATTCCTCCAAAGTAAGCAAAAATTCCTTCTTCCAATATTGTCCTATCAACAACCTTGCCACTGTGATTAAATTTAACATTAAAATAATTTCTTTATCATCACAATCAACAATAATACCTAACAAAAACAATTGTGGAGTGAATTTTATCCTTCTATTAAATTTTTTTTGAATATTCCACCATATCTTTATCCAAAAAGCTTTTATACTTTTACATGACCACCAAATATGATAATACGTTGCATCCAGACAACCACATCTCCAACATTTAGGTTGCAAATTTGAATACATACGAGACATCTTTTGTGGATCAAGGTGCCATCTATAAAACATTTTATAAAAAATTTCCCGTAAATTTTGAGCTTGCGTAAATTTAACATTTCTCACCCAAATTATCTCCCATGTTTCTCAAGCCATTCACTTTTTGTATGTGGCTTTAATAAGCCCATTTCTGCCCCTTCAGTATTGCATTTCTCTGACTATCCTGTTGGTAAAGGATGGAGCAATACCTGCATGAATCACCAATTGTTATTGAAAAGAGAAGCAAAAGTTATGTTACTTGATCATCCTGGGATAATGTCCACATAGGTAGCTCATGTTTAATAACCCTAATTGGAACCGGAATTTCCATTGCTAAATAGTTATTATATGAAACCATATGACTGTACCACTTAGCGACAAGAGTTTTCTAGTCCTGGTTGTGGTCGTCGGGCCAGAACCTCATACTTCTCCTACCCTCTGTTTGTTGCCTCCACTTCAACTCCCTCCACTCACAACCCCCTGCCATCTCTGTCTTTTTTGGCCACCCTGAACATTGCCCTGTGCACTTCCGCTGCCCTTATCACTCTCTGCGGTCCCACAGTTGACCTTTGCTATCTTCTTCCTCTTGCTGCTGATGAGGTGTGCCCAGCTGGTCTTATATTAGGCAACTGCTGACCATACTATTTGCCCTGCACGGTCATAACTTTGTGTGGTCATGAACAAATGGTCATTAGGTGAGAATTACCTATATTGCAAATCCATGCCAATTTTTAGATCTTGGAAAACTAGAGTGAGTTAATGTAGTTTTATTTTTAAATATACATTAAAACAGGAATCTGATTCATATGTACTGCATCACAATGTATCAACCACTTTCACTTTTATATGTAGAAAGCACTGATGATACCTGCTGTTTTAAAGCTTCAGAATTGCTTTAAGGAAATATGATGAAAGCGTTGAGGCTTTGGTTCACAGATCCTTTGCTTCAGTTTGGCAGAATATAGCAATTTGGCTGTGATTATAGAGGTGGTAGTAACTTGAAGAGTTGTCCATAAACCAAGGTACTTGAAATTAAAAACTAGTGTTTTTGAACAGGAACCCAGTAAATAATATTTTGAAATTATCTCTGTTTTGTGTATCAGTTAAAATATCTATTTTCAGCTGAAGATATTGTTCTGTATTGTCTATGAATCTGAATTTTCTGATCATGCAATCTACAGATCGTTTTATTGTAAAATATAGGAACATTGGAAGCTTTTTAAATTTGAAATCTGGATACGTAACAATAGGGCTAAGTGCATAGGGTGAAAGTTTAGAAAACTCAGTACTCATTTTCCAGAAGTCCTCTGTACATATCCTAGATCAGACATGTTAAACACAAGGCCCGGGAGCCGGATGCAGCCCACGAAGTGGTTTCATGTGGCCCGCGAAGCCATCCTGGAAACAGTGAGGGAACGGCCCCTACTGCCTTGGCCCTAGCCCAGGCCGACCGGGAGCCAATGTACAATTTTGTGGTGGCCATCTATGCTGAAACGCATTCAATCTTAGCTCCACAAGGCCGTCTGGAAACAGCGAGGAACCAGCCCCTGCTGTGTTAGCCTTGCCCCCTGGGTGCACGCTGGGCAGGTGTCACCCTTTGTGAGAAATGAAGAAATGGACCATGCCTTGGCCCTTGCCCTGGTCCCACCCCCTTCTGCCAGAGACTCTCAGATCTGTCCCACTCCTGCCCAGGCCCTCACAGGCACCCTTGACGCGAACAATGTAGAGCTGGCCATGCCCACCCAGTAGGCCACACCTACTCCATCCACGCCCACCCAGTAGGCCCCCCCCAGCTACATCCACCCGCCCCCCCCCAAGGGCAATTGCAATGCTGATGAGGCCCTCAATGAAATTGAGTTTGACACCCCTGTCCTAGATGCATATCCTGCCATAGTGGATGGCTGGAGAGTCCTTAATGCTGTCGCTTATTTCAAGAATGAATGGCAATTCTCAGTGCATCACTTACCTTCAAGGAAACATCTTATCTGATATTCTCCCTGTTACTACAGGTGTGGCAGAGATACAGGATTTTCATATGCTGAATTATTTTCTGACACATTAAAAGAAAAAACAGGGAGAAAATTTTATAATGCCACTTCATTATTGACTTTATTTTTAAAAAGAAAGAAGAAGATAGAATCCCTTTTTAGATAGTCACATGCATTTTGCATTCAATGGCAAAAGGGAAATAAAATATAGAATTGTTCAGATTACAGATTGCATCTCAAAAAGTTGCTCCTTCAAAAAATATAAAGGAAAATATAAAGTTTGCAAACCATAGGAGTTGGTCTGCTTCTATTTAGAAGCAATTGGGCCATAAAACTTCAAGTTATAAAAACAAGGAGTTATTGACGAAACATAGAACCAATAAATTACAGAGACAAAATGCTAGAATTAAACACATACACAGTCAAAAACAATTAGTTTTATTCAATATTTTGAATAAAGAATCTGCATACTTTTCTTTTTCCCCATCTTCTTGTAAATTTAATCTTTTATGAGTGACTCAGGAATGCTGTACTGTACCTATGAACCAAGAAAATTTAGAATTTGTTGCGTTATAGAATAAGAAATGACATTCTTTTATTGTAGTTCAGGTATTTCACCAATCTTTTGCCTTCTGAACACCCTTTGGATATGTGAACTTTAATTCCTTGAATTCTTAGCAATTGTGTTGCTGGATTATAGGAGTTAAAGTCCATACATCTGAGAGGTATCTGCATAGCAGAAGATGTTATTACATTTTGCACCCATTTCTGCTCTTAATTTTGTGTGGGGCTGACTCCAGAGCTTATTGCATAATAATATATTTTTTTTACTTCTGTCTCATTCTGTACAGGTTGTTCCATTTGAAGTACTTTCCACTGCTCATTTGGTTAGAAACTTATGAGTTCAAAAGCCAGAGGAAATTTGACAGAATGCAACATCATATAACATCTTTCTTTCATTTGATTTTCCTCCTTTCCTGCACTGTGGCAGGACTTCATCAAGAACAGTAACAGAAGAGAAGCTTCTAATTTATGAAGGGTCATGGGCTTTTGGTCTGCCAGCTTTCATCTCTCCTACAGACTCAAGCTATTGATGCTCATTACCCTCTGCGTCTTATTGATACGCTGGGCTACCTCCACTTACCTGGTGGATACTTTACATGAAACTCAAGCAGCAAAGGGCATGGTTGGAAGTTTTAGGAAGCCAACCATTATTAAGGAAGAACAAAAGGAGAATTCAGAGATGAAGGCCTTGCTTACTGAGAAACTACCCACAGCAAGCCCCCTCTGTCCCTCTGTGTCTCCCTATCTGCGTAAGTCAATTCACATTTTATTCTTTCTGGAAAAAAAGGAGGAGTTAAGGCCTTGAGATTAAAAAAAAAATCTTCAAGTTTAGTCTTTACCAGTATGATGAAAATGCTAAAAGCCCAAAATGTTCTTTTGAACATGTTAGTCATCTTCCGTCTGCTAGTAATATATTCTTGTGTCCAATGGAAAGTCTCTTAAGCCGAGATGGGCAATTTTCTCAAGGGGCCACAAGAAAAATTGGGGCTGTGGTGGAGGGCCACCATTGCCCCCCCCTGCTGTCACCTCCTCATCCTACACTGCCATCTTTGCCACCACACTGATGCCTCCCCCGATGCTCCCTCTCAAAACTGCCAATGCTATGTCCCCCAATGCCACCAACACAGCTGGTTACACCAGGTCCGCCAATGGGCCAGGTGTGGCCCATGGATTGTAAAACACCCAGGTCTGTTCTTAAGGATTATTTAAATACTTGGCTCATATAGCAAAGCTGCTATTGTTGGATCTTAAATTCCATAATTAATGTGACTCAAGACTTTTTAATATCTGTGTTGCTTCCTGTAAAATGTCAGTGAATTCCAAAATTTCTTACATGATCTAAACATATTTTTTTAAAAAATATTTATTTGTATTTATTAGCTCCCAAATGGACATCCCTCATAATATTATCAAAGAATCCCCATTGATGGGATTTGCCCATCAAAAAGCAATTACTAATCTAATTTAACAATGTATGGATATAGCTTTAATGAAAAATTCTAAACTTCACATATTCTGTTCTGCAGTTTTTTCTTTTGGATTTGAATTATAAAATGCTAGTTGGAATTAAATTTGTGCCCTATTTTAAGTATAATAGTAGGAATTAAGAAGCAAAAGCCCCAAGAACATAGGGATGGAACATCATATTGTAGCTATTTATTTATTTAGCAGTGCTTCCTCAGTCCTGAAAGATTCAGGGCAATGAACCAGAAAGCATATTGACATAAGTACAGCAACAATGAAAACAGTACAGTTCAATCATAAAAATGTCTGTGAATGACATTCATAACCTTTAAAAAAATCCAGATTTAAAAGCTAGTGAAATGCAAGAAGGAACAGGGCCAAATGCACCTCTGGGGGAATCATTTACCAAAGTATGTGGCAGTACATGGAGAAAGCCTGTTAGTCTGTTACCTTGCACCTTTTACATTCTTACACTTGTCTGACTGCTATACTTTTGCTCCTTGACTCACATAAACTGTGTTTCAGCAGCCAAGTCAAATGATGATCATTATATGAGTTACTATTGCCAGAACATTGTTGGCCAGCTGGAGTTTTAATTGACCCACTATCTGAATCTAAACAAAGTCCTCCCTGGTCCATGTTCTGCTTGATTGGGGAGCCTGTGGTTAGTTTCCATTTATAGCTTATCTTTATTCAAAGACCCTAAAATCCTGTGCATAAATCTCTTCTAATTTATCCTCTCAAAAACAACCCTGTGAGTTCACTGAGTGGAAATGGCTCAAAGTCAATGTGCTTTATGGTCAAATGGGAAGATGAAACCCCATCTTCCTGGTCTAAGTCAGGTACCTTAACCATTGTAGGACATTCACTCTTAAAAGACTGCATTGGGCAAGATATTGCATGAAGAACATTGAAGTTTAGTGCAATTGGTTAACCTAGACCAGACATGTCAAACACAAGGCCCGGGGGCCCATGCGGCCCGCGAAGTGATTTCATATGGCCTGCAAAGCCATCCTGGAAACAATGAGGGAACGGCCCCTGCTGCCTTGGCCCTGGCCCAGGCCAGCTGGGAACCAATGTACAATTTTGTGGTGGCCATCTTGGCACTTGCCCCAGTGGACCATGCCTTTGCACATGCCCTGGTCCCACCTCCTTCTGCCAGAGACCCTCAGATCTGTCCCACTCCTGCCCAGGCCTCCATAGGCACCCTTGACGCGAATGATGTAGAACTGACCATGCCCACCCAGTAGGCCACACCCACTCCATCCACACCCACCCAGTAGGCTGCACCTATTCTGGCCATACCTACCCGCCCCCCCCCAGGATAACCACAATGCTAATGCGGCCTTCAGTGAAATTGAATTTGACACCCCTGACCTAGACAATGATGTTTGTTAAATTCAACAATTATGGTTTGCAAACCACGTTTTATATTTTTAGCACTATCCATTAACCGGGGTGTTATGATTTGCTCAACATGCTGTGCTCCAAAGAAAGTCAAGTTCTAGCAAAAATGTAAAACCAATCATTACTACCCCATTCTGTCCTCAGCAAAAGTATGGGTAGCTTACCAGAAGTATCAATTGTTTACGTGGTATTTACTGTAATGGAGCTGAATTTCAAAACTGGAAACTGTAAACCTCCTCTTTACCCTTTTTATGATTCTATAACAGTAGGAGCTGATCAACAGTGTGACAGACTACCTTTCCTTCAGAGGAGGAGCTTAAACAGAGATTGGATAGCCATTTATGTGATAGTAATATTGGGCAAAGTATCAGACTAGAAGATCTCCATCCCTTCCCCACCCCTTAAAGTCTGTGATTCTATCATCCCCCAGTCACTTCCAGGGGCTCTGAAGTCTTACTATAGTGCAGTGGTTCTCAAACTTTTTAATGTCATGATCCCCAATTGGTCGTAAGTCGAGGACTAAACCAGTTGTAAGTCGAGGACTAAACCGGTTGTAAGTCGAGGACTACCCAACCAGTCGTAGGTCGAGGACTTTCCCTGCCCGGGAGCGCCGCACATGTGTGGTGCCGCCCCCTGTGCCGGCTGAGGTGTAGCTGGCAAGCGGCAGAGATGGAGCAGGCTGACCACCGGCTGGGCCACCAGCTGGCCCAGCCCAAGGGAGGTAAGGCACCCGCTGGAAAAGGGGAAAAAATGGCGGACAGCCTTGCTTGGCGACCCCCGTGAAATGGTCGATCGACCCCAAATGGGGTCGCGACCCATAGGTTGAGAACCGCTGCTATAGTGAGAGTTGCGAACATAAGGCTTGCCTTTTCCTATAGGAGGCCCCAGCAAGCTCACGTTCAAAACATCTCTTACTCTGGAAGAACTGCGAAAACAGAATCCTTTGGTAGCCAAGGGGCGCCATAGGCCAAAAGATTGCACGGCTCAGCAACGGGTGGCTATATTGATTCCACACCGCAATCGAGAGAAGCATCTGCTGTACCTGTTGGAGAATCTTCATCCGTTCTTGCAGAGGCAGCAGCTGGATTATGGCCTTTATGTCATCCACCAGGTGAGTCCATGTAGAATGAGAAAAGCAAAAGCCTCCCTCAAACCTAGTAACTTCTGGTGACTTCATGGATATGTCCAGGCAGTTTGTTTGGCAACAATATGGAAATGGTTTGCATTCTTTGTTGATGGATTTTTAAAATGTAATTTAATTTTTTATTGTTTGACTTTCCAGACCAGTGGTTCTCAACCTGTGGGTCGGGATCCCATTTGGGGTCGAACAACCATTCCACGGGGGTCACCAAACAACGCAGTCCGCCATTTTTTTCCCCTTTTCCTTAGCTGTGCTACTCCCTTTTATTCTATTGGCTTTTGAAAGCCAATAGAATAGACTCTCTTGAATAGAGTCTAATTCTATTGGCTTTCAAAAGTCAATAGGAATTGTCCAGGCTGTCTCTGCCCTGCTGAACCCGCCAAAAGTCCCATTTTGCAAACGGTGCTGCACCAGTTGAGTAGTCCTCAACTTACGACCAGTTGAGTAGTCCTCGACTTACGACCGGTTGGGGGTCGCAGCATTAAAAAGGTTGAGAACCATTGTTCCAGACTAATCTGAGGTTATTTTCTGATGGTCTCCCATCCAATATTAACTAGGCCTGACCCGGTTTGTTCAACCAAGAACTGAATGCTACTAATGCCCTGAAATACCTTTTGGTGCCCTTTGCTTATTGTTTTTAATTGTGTAATTTTTTTCAGAAATATATTACTTCAGGGAAGGCAAATATTATTTCTATAGCTCCATTTACAAAACCAATCCAGGGTATTAGCAGTCCTGAGATGTCTTTCTACGTGTGAATATTAAGGAGTTTATTTTGTTTTTTGCTGCAAGAGCTTAAAGCAGATTGAACACATTAAACAGAGTAGGTGGCAAATTAAGTTCATGCACCATTGGTAGAGTATTATTGTTTTCTAAATTGCAAGTCCTGAAATATATATTGTCTTCATTGCCTGTTTGCCCCCTGCTCATGGTTTGGTGTCTGACTTCTTTTCTTATAGTTATCACTTCTTGCACAAACATTTTTTAAAGACTGAGACTTTTTTCTTCTTGAATAAAAGTTCTCGGCCTTTAATTCTATGAAAGCAAAAGCATTGCAGCACAAGAAGCAATAAAGCTGTATATGAATTAATTAATGTATTTATGGCCAATGTTTTGCTGTTGGAGGACTTTTATCTCTTATTAATAAAGAGCTGTTAGTTCAATTTCAAAAATACTAAAGTAAAACCCAAAATTAGAACATCCAATTTGTCACCACCATATATGGCTTGCTAAAAACAAACCCTTTCTTACCATACAGCAAGAAACAAATAAATTGGATATCAATTTATTTGTCCCCTAGACTTGCAAAAATAACTCTTCACATTGGATGGCATAAAAGTATAATACAGAAAGAAAGCATTCACTGAGCTTTGTTTGTTCAGTCATTTTTATTAGAAGAGGAGCCAAATGGAAGTGATCAAGTAATACACCGGTGCATTTAATAGTTCTTGGAAAACCAGAATTAGCACCTACTTGTGTTATAAATTGATACTAAACAGACTCTGGCAATCAAGCATTGATGCTCTGTGCTTATTCTCTGTGAAGCCATTCAGCTGGAAAATCTGAAGCGAAGGACATGGTTGGCTTAAGAGACACTATGAAGCATGGTATCCACTAAGTCATTTTGGAGAAGAGAATGTTGGTTCAAGGGAAGACATTTCCTGTTTTGGATCTCTCAGGATCTTACGTGTACCTCATAGAAAGATATATCAAGTGTTATAACTATCATCAATGATAAATGAAAAAGGTCCTGTAGTTAAGTATAAAAATACCTGCTTAATATGAATAAGAAGTAGGAACAGTCCCAAGTAAGTTTAGGAATAGCCTTTGCCTGCTAGATGCTGTTTCTAAGGCAACCTGAAGCTTTCAAGCAAGTGCTACCATCATTCATGGACAGGATGGTAGAATTGTTGCCAAAACAACTCTATGGCAGGTTGGGTAAAAGTGGCCTAAGGCAGCAATTATTTCAGAATTCTGTCTGAAACTTTCCTTTGGGGACTACTCTCCTGTTCCCATTTGCTTTTATGGTTAGGGAAACCAACTCTCTGCATTAACATTTGCAGATTTCCCCCCCCCCCTGGGATTGAAATATCACCTGTGGACCATGATGCTTCAGCGTTACATTCATGGAGATGAAAATGGGGACAGGGTTTCTTTAAAAAAGCAAAAGCAGCTGACAATATGGCATTAATATGCCATACTTTGATTTTATAAAATCAATTGCTTATGAAAAAAGTTTGAGGAGACTCTTCATCTTTCTTCATTTCCTATTTAGTTGCTGATGGCTCTACTTAAAGACTCTTAATTCTCTTCTGAGTTTCTGTATTCTTGACAAGAATGCTTGGATGCTTGCCAGAGCTGTAGGCATTTAAGTTGAGAATAGAATTTACCTTAAAAATATAAGATAAAATTCCATTTGAAAATAATAGTTACAGAAAACTAAGAGTAGCATGACAATATAGTATCAATTTGTGTGTTTTTAAAATGTTCATATACAATTAAATTGTAAGATAAAGGAACACTAATACAGGCTATTTTAAAACTTAAAAATAGAAGATTGAAGCTGCAGTTCTAAACATTAATGAGTAGCATGGTGGAATTAATTTCTGGATAAGTATGACCATTCAGGAAAGAGATTTAAAGTTTACTCTTAAACATTAATTTGGAATTGAAATTGTAATACTGGTCATAAATGCATATTTTACAAATGTTTAATAATTATGCAATACTACCACTTCCATGCTTGATGATCCTGGGATGAGAATATAACTTCTAGGTAAAGTATTTTTATAGTGTTAGGTAATCTTGGAATTGCTAGTATCATGTAGTGATCTGGAGACTTAAATTGAAATGTTCACTATGACACAGGATATCAGTTGATAATGGTGGCAAAAGATTTAATTGACAGATTAACTGGTTCACCAGTGAAGTCCTATGAGTGTAGTTCACTCTTCCCACTGTGGGGGCTCTCCATATGTATTAGCATATGGCTCCTGGCCTTGTTGGTGCGAATTCTGGGAGAATTGAACACATCCATGGGTACTGGATTAGATAAACTGTTAAAAGTTTGTGTATGCATCTGATCCAAGGCTTTTATAATCTCCCTGATTTAAGAGGATGGAAATGTGCATAATAATCTGTTTATGTTTCATAATCTAAAATAATAATTGCAATCCAAGAGACATGGCACAAAAGAAAAAAAGGAGGGAAGAGGAAAAGAAAACAGACAGATTCAATTCTCTTGTCATGTTAGAGAGCCTGACAGAAAATGGCTGGCCTCAAATTTTACTGATCTTAGCCCTGTTGATTAATACTGGGAACTTGAATCCTGGGTGCCCAGATTATGCAAGGGCTGCCAACTCCAGCAGGGAGTCATAGAAGATGGAAGCAGAGAAATAGATGGTTATATTGAGAAATGCCTTGACTGCTTTACAGTTTAATCTTATCTATCTCATATCTAGTGCCTACCTATACAAACTTCTTAGAACTTTACCCTTACTCTTATTTGACCTGGGTCTGCTTCCCCCTTGGAGGGTGGGGGAACACTCTGACCTTTTTGAATTGGGGTTGTATCAATCACTACAACCTTATCCAATAGGTCTATAATTTGTATTGGTTATTCATTCAATGTATATGATCACTATCTCTTCATGATGATTCTCAGCAGCTAACTGCAGTTGAAAACCAAGAAAATAAACACAACCATAAATACATAATTGGTAGCCAATATAAAACCACAACCCTCCCATCAACATAGCCATCTCATGGACTCTGCTACATGTTCCAACCCTCTTGCCAGGTGATCTATTCAAGGCCTTACAAAAAATCAATAGGGTCAGGATCAATCTGACTAAGTCATTGCAACTTCAGATGGAAGGAGATGTTCTGGTAGACTTGAGAAGAAGAGTCAAATAGAAATAGGTCCAGCTCCCCTGGGCCTTCTTTGAGGCAGCCGGTGAAATAGAGGTCTTGGTTGTATACCCATGTTGTTGATTGTCTTTGACTTTTGAAGGACATTGTGAGAGTGCTTATGTGGATAGAATAATGAGGATAGTATATTTATTGTTTGTAGGCTGGCAATGCCAAGTTTAACAGAGCAAAACTTCTAAATGTGGGATATCTGGAGGCACTGAAAGAAGAGAACTGGGATTGTTTTATTTTCCATGATGTGGACTTGGTGCCAGAGAATGACTTCAACATTTATGTATGTGGCAGTCAGCCAAAGCACTTGGTAGTTGGGAGAAATAGCACAGGTTACAGGTAAGAAATAATGTGTTACCAGATGTGTTTTTATGCAATTTAATATATCTATGAGTTATATTTTTGACCTTGGTTTGCTTGACTTTGAAGTAACAAATCTTGCTGCAGCTAAATTCAGAACCTGTCCCTAGTTCTCTGAATTACCAGCGTATCCAAGTTGAATTAATGTAGAAATTAGTGACCTAAAATGAGGATTCTCCAATTTCATACAAATGTTTAGATGCCCCAAACTGTATATTGATTTAATGGACTGCAAGAATAACCTTGAGAGATAAAGACGACTGTTCTCAGACTTACAAAATTATGTTACCATAACCTTACTCTAAGGATAATATTATGGATAGTATTTTTGGTTTGGGTTTTTTTTTTTTTTTGGTCTGGACTACCTTGAAGGTTTGACAATTTCACTGAATCATTTTTTTTAATTGAAGGCTAGTTAATAAAAAAATACAAGTAATAAATAATATAAATCCATAATGCATTGGGGAAAAAGTTTTTTCAAAAAATTTCAAGTAGAGAAAAATAAATAATAAAAGTCTTCACATTTGTCATATATAAAAAGCTTTGCTGATAAGTAGATGTCTTAAAATAATGCATGGAATCTGCCCAAATGGGCAAAATTTTGGTTCCTGACTCTGACATTTCCATTTTCTGACTTTATCTGTAATCTTTTCTAGCATGGCACTTGAAGAAGCCTTAATGATCCATATCTTATTTCTTAGCTAGTGTAAGATTTTCTTTTGTATACCTATTATTATTTTAGCTATTATAATTAAGTAAATAATAAGTTTTTTCCTTTTTTATTTTCAATCAAATAAGTGCAGTATATTCATTTTTAGTAATGAAGATATTTGAAGATAATGAAGATGCTGAAGATTTTAAGTTGAGTATAATTTTCTCATGACTACCATAAATGAAAGACTCCTTTTGTAAGCATCCTCTCCAGTATTTAGACATGTCAAAAACAAGGCCCGGGGCCCGGATGTGGCCCACGAAGTGGTTTCATGTGGCCCACGAAGCCATCCTGGAAACAATGAGGGAACGGCCCCCGCTGACTTGGCCCTGGCCCAGGTTGGCCAGGAGCCAATGTACAATTTTGTGGTGGCCATCTATGCTGAAACACATTCAGTTTTAGCTCCACAAGACCATCTGGAAACAGCAAGGAACTAGTCCCTGCTGCATTGGCCCCACCCCCTGGGTGCATGCTGGGAAGTGTCATCCTTTGTGAGGAATGAAGAAATGCACCATCGCCTGGAAGTGGCCAGCAAATGGCCCTTGCCTACTTCACATATCCAGCTTGATGGGCTCTGGGGGAGGCGTTTCGGCAGGCAGCGGGGTGCTCTCCTCACAGCGCTGAGAGGCTAAGCCGGGTGGTGCAAAACTGATGATAAGTGCAATGCTGCCTAGCCCCCAGCCTGCCCAGTTTCAGCAGGCAGCAAGGTGCAAAGCTCGTGAGCTTCACACCTCCCAGCTCAACCTCTCAGCACTGTGAGGAGAGCGTTTCGCTTCCTGCCAAAACCATGCAGGCTGGGGGCTGGGCGGCATTGCGCAGGTAACGTTGATTCTCATGCTGCTCATGGCATCCCCTCCCACAGAGCCCCTCAAGCCAGATATGTGAAGTAGATGAGGGCCATGTGCTGGCGACTTCCAGACAATGGTGCATTTCTTCATTCCTCACGAAGGGTGACACCTCCCCAGCTGCGTTTCTTGCCTGCTTTTTTCCCTCCCTCATCTCAAATATTTTCTCACCACTCTGTACTTAGGAAGGAAGGAAGGAAAGAAGGAGATGGTGGGTCTGAGGGAAGTCCTGCCTTAGTCCTGCCCTGTTGCCCTTTTACCATCCCCTTGCCCCCTCCTCCTGGCCTATCCTGGGGGGTCTCCCATCCTATTGCTAAGGAAACTTTGGATACAAAGCCGGGTCTCTTCCCATGGAGAGGGAATGGGCCTCCCTCTGACTTTGCCCTCGTACCCATCCCTCTCACTTTGCCCTCGTACCCTGGGTAAGGAGGGCAAGCACAGAGTAGCAACCTTGAGGAGGAGGTAAATTCAGCTGGACGCCCCTTTGGGGAAGTGGGGCTGGGCTTGGTGCCGCAGATGCTTGAGGGCCAGGCTGGGCATTTGACCTCTGCTGTCCAGGGCTCTGGGCAGCCCGCACCACCATCCAGAGCCACCCCAATTGGCCTGAGAGGAACAGTGAGGCTCCTCCAGTGGACCATGCCTTGGCACTTGCCCTGGTCCCACCCCCTTCTGCCAGAGAGCCTCAGATCTGTCCCACTCCTGCCCAGGCCTCCAGAGGCGCTCTTCACACGAACGATGTAGAGCTGGCCATGCCCACCCAATAGGCGACACCCACTCTCCACGCCCGCTTGGCAGGCCACACCCAACCTGGTCGCCCCCGGAGGGCAACCGCAATGCTGATGCGGCCCTCAATGAAATTGAGTTTGACACCTCTGATTTAGAAGAATAAATATGATATGTGTATAGTAAACTAACCAAGGTAAAATTCCAGCAAAGTATAATCTTTCCCTGAGGCTCTTGCCTCAAATTAGAAGTGAATCCACTTAGTTTCCATAACATGTGTCATTTTGTCTCCTTACCAAAATCAGTATTCCAAGCTATCTGTAAGTTTAGGGATGAATCTCCTTTTTCTGATTGCAATGGTTGATTAATGTTGTGCTATCAAATCAGTGTGGACTCTTAACCAGATAGATTTTCCTATGATAATCTGTCCCTAACGTGGCCCTTGAGCTCTTCTGAGGCATCCCTGTTACCACTGTTAAGTCTGTCCAGGTTGCTCCTGGTTGTCCTAGTCTCTTCTCTTCTACCTTTCCCAGCCTCCCAGCCTTCTCCTGAGAGCTAGGTCATTGCATAATGTGTCTTGAGTAGGACAGTTTGAGTCTAGTTATTCAAACCTCAAGTGTGAATTCTGGATCCATTTGTTTGTTTTCTTGCCTGTAATGGTTTTCTCAGGTATCTTATCTATCACCAAAGTTCAAAAGCATCAATGCTTTTTCTGTCCTGCTTCTTAAAAGTCCAATTTTTACTTCCACCCAGTGCTGCAGGGAAAATAATTGCTTGCGCTGTTCTCATCTTTGTTAAACATACACACATTAGAACGTCTGAATATGTTTTCTAAGACCTTTATGGCTGCTGTGCCAAGTGCTAGATACTGGTATATTTCTTGACTACTTGTTCCTTTACTGTTGATGGTTGATCCTAAAAAGCAGAAGCTATGATATTTATTAGTTAAGTCTTTTCATTGTCAATTATAAGGCTCATTGTTATTCAATCTTTTTAATTGTCCCATTTTTTTCATTGTGGTCCTTGACTTTTATTACTAGAACTTTCAGATCTTTGCTTTTTAGCTACCCGAGTAATATTAGCACCATAACACACATTGTCTTCTTTTAAAAACTCGTGTCTTCTTTCAATCCAAATTCCTTTAATATATATATTCAGCATTTAGATTGAATAAATAAGTGGAGAGTATACAGCCATCTCTCACTCCTTTGCCAGCCTGGAGCCAGTCTTTGTCACTATGTTATCTCTAGAATGTTACTTTCTAACATATGCATAGGTGTCAACATTTTTAATTGTATTCCTTTTGATTGTTTCAAGTAGTTAAATATGAATTTTTCAAAAGTGACATAATTTTGGATTGGCAACTTAGCTCACCCCTGGAATCCTGAGGAAAAAATATTTATTCTGGATTTCACAATTACATATTAAGCGCTAACCACTTTCTAGAACAACCACTTTCTGGATTGGTGACCCATTAGGAAAGGGAGGGGCAGACACCTTTATACATGCATGCGCACACACCCAACTGTAGCTGTGCGTGCATACATGTGAACGGGGCCGTGAGCATGTGCGCTCTGTAAATGGGGCTGCTAGCGCTGGCATGAGGCTTGCGCAGGTGTGAGGGTCACGCTGAGGCTAGCACTGGTGCGAGAGTCACGCCAAGGGTTGCACCGAGGCTAGCGCTGGCGTAAGGGTCACCAAGGCTAGTGCTGGCATGAGGGTCATGCTGAGGCTAGCACTGGTGTGAGGGTCGTGCTGAGGCTAGCACTGGTGTGAGGGTCGTGCCGAGGTTAGCGCAGGCACGAGAGTCATGCCAAGGGTCGCGCCAGCACGAGGGGAAGTGAGTTTGCACACACACACACACACACTGGCCATCCACTTATGTAGCCTGGTGGCCAAGAGGTTGGGGACCTCTATTCTAGAAGGTGACAGAAATTGAACAGACCTACTTTCTTTTTCCTAGTTTTATTTGGTAGCATTTACAGCATCTATTTCTACCTGTGATTCAGGGAGGTTGAATTACAGTGCCAGTGGAATTCGGGTGGCAACTTTTTTAGCATAGGAGGGGAAAGTGCCAGGTCAACGGAACTTCCCGTCTCCTAGGAGTTGCTGCCACCTACTGCTCTATCCTGATGTTTGTAATAAAATATGTCTTAAATTTGTACTTGCTCCATTTTGCTTTAAAACAGTACACAAGCAAGGCAATATTGTCCAGTTTAGTTTTCCATTGCTAAAGTGTTGTCAGCTTTGTTGTTTTGAAGAATCATGGATGTGGTGAAATGTGGAACTGAGTACTTAAATGTCCACAATTAGATGTAGAGAAGGTAAAATCTTAATTGATCCACCACGTTTTTTTTTATTGGCCAAAGTTAATGTGTGTTTAAAAAAAAAAGAATTCTTTTTTTAAAGCAGAAGTTGGCCTCTAGATTGTCCAGAACAGGACTATGGATAGACCCCCACACTCCCTATCTTGTACTTTGATATTCACTACACTGTTTCACTTGGACTGTACAGTAGGGTTCTAAGAAATACATGGATACTTCTGAATTCAGATATGAAGAGGACTAGAAAACTCCTAGTTGCTTGCTGAATAGGTTCACTTGCTGTTCAGTGGAACAAATTGTGCTGCTCACATGTCCACCTGTTACTTGTCACTGCTCTAAGCAACTTGGTTGTAATTCAGTGTTTGAATCTTTCTAGATTGGGGTAAGCAACAATTTGGTGAGAGGCACATTTGAAATTTGGTGGGTACATTCACAAAATGGTTGTCATCATGACCATCATCCTTCATAAATCACTCATGTAGTAGAAGATGACTATGCAGTTATTTCTACCTTCTATCATAAAGTTATGGATATAACAGGGGTTACAAAGATCATCTCAGCCAGGCCTCTGTAATGTGCAGCAAAATCCTTGTGAGATTTTGTTGTCAAGTTTGTTCTGTGCCTCTTATCCTAAACACTTGTCTGTTTTATACATTTTATCCTCTTCCCTAAGTAAACATTGTGAAGCCTTGTATAGATAATAAAATTAAAAGGATTGCAATGTAACAAACAGCATACCAAAGAATTAAGAATAATTGATGTGAAAACATTCATATTAAAAATAGGGGAATTCCATAACAGGCAAACATAGAAGGCTTTGTAAAGAGAAGTGTTTTAAAAATGCAACAAGCAGAGAGTTCCAGATAAAATACTGCAGAGATGGAACACTTGTAGCAGGTAACCGCATGTGGGACAATCTTCATGTAGTAGCAAAAGCAGAATGACTCTTCTGATAATCATAAGTTGCTTACCCCGATGTAAAGGCTGGAAGAGCAAAAAAAGGCTTGGATGGTAGAGAGTGCAAGTGGGAAGGGAAGAGAATCTCCCACATCAGAAAGAGGAAAAGAGCGACTAGTGAGACTTGAGAGCACTTGAGAGACAGTTCCTGTAGCAGAGACACAAATCATTTGGAGAGATAGAATTCACAGAGGAACAATGTGCAAAATTGAGAAGAGGAAGAAATATTGGAACAGAATTGCAAGACGGCCACATAGACCACATTGCAGGGCTTCTTTATAACATTGTCAGTTACTAGTTATTCTTATTTACCCAGAACAATATCTAAAATTCAACCAGGCTAGGTTGAAATTGTAGAAGAAGTAAGGCAAGAAACTCAACAATACACAGTACCTCATTTTGCATGACTGCTCTGAAGTACTACAATTCCCATCCACTTTTATAACCTCTAACAAGGGGTCAGCTATCTAAATTTGGATTTTTCTCTTGACCTGTATATATGTATATACAATATCTAGTATATATGATATTACTGTTACAATACGGAATAAAAGCAATTTGAAATGAGACTTTAGAGGAATGTTTTGTGTCTAGTTTGGGAAAAGAGCATTCACAATAATCAGAACCAGCCCCACTGGGCCTGTACATTACCAAAATGGATTCAGCTAAGTTGTCAATATCTTTAAAAGAAAGCCCAATCTGTATCAACTCCTTTACTTTTCATTTTGCTCTACCTGCTACTGAAGTAGGTAAAGATGCATAATACTTACACCTTGACTTACCATTGGACCATCCGTTATTTGAAGTCAATGGGTATAATCTTAACTTTTTTTTCAGGATAGGGAGAGTCAGAAGTGAATAAATTGAATTAAACAGACGAACCACCTCCTTGATCCAGTGATTTAGTGGAAGTTTGTTACACCATTTGGAATTTATCAAGGGGGTTCAAAAGGCCTCTTTCCCCAGATTCCCCAAATGGGAGATAAGTTAGATGCAGGTGTTTAGTATATGAGTTTAATCTACCAGTTCTGAATGGGTTTATTATAATCCCAATAGGTAGTGAAGAGGCTTGTCATCATTGTCAAAATCATCGTGCAGGGCTAGTGGATATAGTAAAGGCCCCAAACCTTTGGCATACCTTCCTTGGGAAAACTTATAAAAATGTATTGATGTGTATTGTTGCTTTTTTGTTTCTTTTAAAACTTGGATTTGTGCAAACTTTCTGTTTCTGATAAATATGTAAATGCCATTTTTTTAAAAAAATAACTTTCCTGCCCCTGCATATGTATTCATAGGTTGCGTTACCAAGGATACTTTGGCGGTGTAACTGCTCTGACAAGGGAGCAATTTCTGAAGGTGAATGGATTTTCAAACAACTACTGGGGCTGGGGAGGAGAGGACGATGACCTCCGGATCAGGTACATTTCAGTCAAATGCAAAGTGGGTGGCATGGACTGTGGGTGATGGAAATCTTTCCTGTGGTATGACTCAAATTTTGTTAAAGCAAATTATTGTAAGAGAGTCTGGAAACCGAGATCAGAGTTGGCATGCAGAAAGCCTAATCAGAAATATGAAACTGTCTTTGACATTTTAAAAACCTGGAAGTCCAGGTTTTTGCTTCATTTACATGACATGATTTTCTTAAGACAGCTTAAGACCACAAACAATCTTCTTGTTACATATTTTTAATCACCCCTCTGTATTTGGATTTTTCAGGTTTCCTCTTCTATGAAGCAGCATGAAAGTAATGCTGCCCCCTTAGTGCAAGGTGGGAATAATTTAGCAACAAATAAACAACAATTAAACCATTCAAAATTGGGTCAATGTATGGGAACCTACGATGCAACTGTAGGTCAATGTCTTAGGCTTGTTCTAGTACCTGTCTGCACAATATCATAATTGCCATTTGCAGAACAATACAACTGCAATGTATCTGCTTTGGGGCTCAACAATACAATTAATAAAGGAATTTTCAAACAAACATTTTTTTTAAAAAAAGAAGAATGCTTTGAAGGCTGTCTCTGGCTTTTTGTGCATGTGCTTCTGATGAGCATGGACTATTCATGGGGAGACAAGAGACAGCCTTCAGAACAGTTGTGCAAGGCTTCTGAACTGGCTGAGCTCTAGTGGTCCAGCCAGAAGGATTTCATAGACCTAGATGAAAAACAAAGTAATATAAGTTCCAGTAAAATGAATCACAATTATAAAATCCTTCTCAATGAAATTTCTGTTGTATTTTTCTGATTTTTTTGGCTCTGCTTGTCAGCAAATGTAGCATTTAGAACTGGTTCATTCTGTTTGCCTTTCTTCCTAAAGGTCAACAAAGCTGAGTTTTGCAAGAAGATAAATAGTTAGCATTCAGAGGAACAGATAGCGTAGCCCTTATTTTTAAAAGAAAGAATGCTAAAAAGTGCTATGCTAGAATCAAGAATTTTGGCTCATGCTTTGTTTGCTTTGGTCTGTTTTTCATTCTATAAATTGTTTTATACTAGCCTCTCCCAATCTGGTGCCTTGCAATGTTTTGGAATTATAACTTCCAAAATTGTGTCAACACATCTCTTTAACGCTTGTCTGGTGAACACTGGAATAGATAAGGGCACTTCCATCACCCTCCTTTAGTCACCCTCCTTTCTTAGTTAAATTGCAAATGGATCAGTACTGCTGAAATTAATCCAAAGTCTTGGCCATTGAATCCTCCTGCTCAGTGTAGCAGCTGAGTTTGAAACATCCTCAGTAGAGAGTTATCCAATCTGTTTGACAGTGTCAGTGACAAGAAGCAAACATATCCCTATGGAGATGTTTTTGTTCTCAAACATCTGGTCTCTGTTACTGTATATTTTTTTCTTTACAACTAGTGGCAGTCTTCCTTCCTGCATTCTCTCTCCTGTAGCCAGGGATAGTTAAGGACAAGACTATGATGTTCATATAGGTAGTCCTCAACTTACAACCAAAATTGGGACCAGTATTTCTGTTGCTAAGCAAGGCAGTGTTAAGCAAATCACAAACATACATAATTTTCCTTCTTTTGCCTCCTATTTTCCCCACAACATGTGGAGTAAGTTGTGCAGAGAGAAAGTGATTGGCCCAAAGTTACCCAGCCAGTTTTCATGCCTAAGTGGGATTAGAACTATAAACCATCTCCTGGTTTCTAGGCCAGCACCTTAATCACTTCACCAAACTGGCTCTCCATCACTGTAATTGAACAGTTACAAAGGAAGAAAAAAACCTATAAAACAGTGGCTACAATCTTCAACTCTTGCAGATGGCACATGATGAATCCTATGGTTAATGATATCAAAAGCCCCTGTGAGGCCTAATAGGGTCACAAAGACTGCTCTTCCCTATCCAGATCATCCACAATAGCAATCAATGCAGTAATATATGATGATACTATATATTCAGATCATCTGCTTCTTTCAAGGACTTCTGCAGTTGAGCCCCAACTACAGACTTTTCATCATCCATATGTAGGCTTTAACATAGGCTTTTATTCTGGTTGGTTAAATTCCTTGTTTTTTTCCATTGCTTTAGGCAGGTAAAAATGGTTGACAATAAATCACATCTAGTATGGCATCAAGCCTCAATGAGTTGTGAAGAGCTAAGAAAGCATGAGGCCTGCTCAGATCTCAGGACTTACTGGCCATATTAGAAACAATGTGCAGGAACAATTTCAATGATTTGTTTATATATTAAATCTATCTTACCTTTCCTCTAGGTAGGACCTGAATGTGACATACATAGCATTCCTGCATTCAGTTCTTACAATAGCTTTGCAGAGTGAAATGGACTGAGAGGTAGTAACAGGGCTTGGCTATCATGGTTAAAAATGGACTTGAACCTGAGTTTCTTATGTTCTAGTCTGGTACCCATTCCATTATACCACAATGTAATATAAATTATTCTGCTCACTATTGGCACTATTACATATATTACACATGGTTGCTACTTCTAGAAAAAAGCGGTTTCAAAGCCAAATTTAAAAGGCAGAAAAGTAACATGTGAACAATTTTCCCTGCTCTGTTTTCCATTCTTTGCAAACCTCTTCTTTCACTTTGTTAATAATAAAAGCTCATCTGGTATCCTGAAAAAAAAAAAAAAATCAGCTGCAGAGTAAAGTGCAGGAACAAATTAATAGGCAGTTTTCTCTATTTCACATCCCACTCAAGCTATTTCACTTTAGAAGCAGCAGCAGCAGTTGGAGAATTAAGATTAGGAAAAACCATTCTGAAATAGATCAAAAACTCATCTAGTTCAGGAGTTTATTTTCAAGATGACCAGTAAGCATATAAGTAGTTACGATATCCTACTTATATATCCCGATGATTGGTAGCGAGAACCTGCTTAGTAGTTGTGATCAATAGCCTTATCCTCTTATCATTTTAATGTTGTTAAAACTCTCTGCTCTAATTGGCATCCTTGTATTTTGTAGCAATATATTCCACAGGTTACAAATTCTTTATCTGCCTTCACAATTTCCCACAGTTCAGTTTCATTGAACATTGGTTGGGATGCACTGACTGAGGAAACTTTGATCTTATCTACCTCTTCATCAGCATGTATTTCTTGTACATAGTTCAGCTGTGCAGATTTGGTATTTGACTCAGAAGAGGTAGTTTGGAGCACAAGTGCATTGTCTATAACTCATTCAAGCAGTTGTATGTTTCCAAGATCGCATGGCTTCTGTGAACACTTCCCCAAAGCAGCATGATTCTGGAAAAAGGCATATTTTAATGAATTAGTTAGGTGCAGGGCTTGTATTCCTTTGTGTTCTGATACACCTCTTCCAAGGTATAGTATTAGTCTTAACATGCAATTGCATCTTGTACTAAGACTGTCCTTCATTAAAGCAAAATTTTACTATTCTCCAGTACAGGAGATGGATAATCCACGGATGGGTTTTCTCTGTCTGCCTGCTCTTGAGACCAAGTAGCCAAAGCTTGACACGCCCCCACTTCCTGTGGAGTCCATTCTTAACTTGGTCTCTGCTCGAAGAAGACTCGTTTTGGCGTGGCTCTCAGCTTATCAGGTTAGACAAGAAATCCATTGATTGATTATCCCTTGATAATTGGCTTCCCCTTCCAAAAAAAAAAAAAATTGCCACCTATAGGAATTTAACCACAAAATTTTCTGGGGATCAGTCCTGATCTCAAACCTAAAATTAAAAAGGGGATTGGTGGGAGGGAAATTTCCCCACAGATATCAGCCAGCCCCAGGGCTCTGGGGGGTGAAAAGGGGGGGAAGAAGGCATCAGCAGAGACTACTTGCTGAACCTTTTCCCCAACCACTAAGTTTTCCTTGGGATCATCCCTGATCCTATATTAAAATTGAAAAAGGGGGTGTGGGGGTGGAAACTCCCCACGGATCCCAATCAGCCCCAGGGCTCTGGAGGTGGAAAAGGGGGGGGGAAAGGCATCAGCAGAGACCACTTGTTGAGCTTTTCTCCCCAACCTTCCAAGGGATTTTTTCCTCAAATTGGGGGAAAAAATAACAATCTCCAGGTCCGGATTCAAACTTGAATTCGGATCATCGGAGATTCCCTAGCAGCCCAGGGCAACCGCGGGCGCCATTTTAGTTGCCGTTTTCAGACAACAAAGGCAATCCCTGACTGGGATTCCCTTAAAACGTCACCAGCGCGCCAAATTTAAATCCACTTGGTCTCAAGAGCACCGGGCACAAGCAGCTTCTGGGAGGCTGCGGAGCTTATTTTCAGAGGGAAACGAAGCACAGGAAGGGAGTAAGCCCCAACCAAGAAACGGAGGCTAGAGAACCCTCCTGGGATCCGCAAAGCCCTTTTTCAGGGAGAAACGAGCTGTGGCTGCCATCTCTTGCCAGAGAAAGGCAAACCGAGCTTAAGGAAGCTCTACATCATATCTGGAATCACTGATAGAGGCGGAATAGGAGCACACAACCAGCGCTCCACCCCCGATACACACATATAATAATAGGACAAAATATAATAATAATAAAAATAGATACATAAATTTTTTAATAATAATAATAATAATAATTAAAAAAAAATTTTTTTTTAAAGCTAAAAATTAAGCGACTGCAGGGCCAACAGGCCTAAAGACAGAACACACAATATTATCATCATCACCATTATTGTTGTTGTTGTTATTATTATTATTATTTTATTATTATTGTTGTTCCTATTATTAGTATAATAGTAATAGTATTAATAAGAATAAATTCCGCTCTAGGTGACCGCCATTTGATACCTGCTGTGTATTAAGTCAGGCCTACAGACCCTTTTGAGGTCGCCACTGATATTTTTTGCCTCCCTTTTCCTTTTTCTACTGGTGCACGTTGCCTGGTCACCTAAGGCCTCCGGGCGGAACCCAAAGAGTGGTTCCAAACGTGCCTTCGGTACCTCCCTCAGCTACCGTGATCTTAGCCCAGAGAGAATATTTTTGTTGTG